GCTTTTCTAAAATGATTTTCTCTCTTAAGTCAGAGTTAAAGCCTGAATAGGTACAATATGAAGTCTTAGAGTTGGCTTAATACACTCTACATGTTTCTGTACATTTAACTGATAAATACAATAGTGACAGGTGAAACACCTGTAAGCTATCTGTAATGTCAGGTCAGATGTAAATCTAGCCAAGCACCTTGGAGGGAAATTCATTTTTGGGAATACATGTAGGTGCCCCTGTGCACCCAACCTAAAAAATTAGGTGCACAAAAATCTTTTTGGGTGCACCATATAAAACAAAACCTAATAACAAATCTTTACTCACTACAGCAGCTTAAATCTTAAAAAAAGTACTGCAACAAAGACTTTATTATTTTTTCTGGCCCTTACACTCCAAGAATACCCTGTATACTATCATACATTAAATTTTGATAAGTACAAAAATAGCTTCAAAATTATTTGGGTGCACCAGTGCACCCACAGAGAAAAAATTAGGTGCACAGCTCCAATTTTGTACCAAAGCATATAGAAAATGAATTTCATTTTGTTATGGAATGTACCAAATAATTATGATGTTATACGTAACAAGCTATTTACATTTCTTGAATCAAGTACCATAGATTTCAAGAGTCTCGATGTTGCAGACAGATTTGAATTATCTTTTCGTGTAATGGTCCCCACAACGCAAAAATAGGTAGATATATAAAGGAATGCTTTGCTATTAGAAAAAATACCGAAACTTGTGATTAGCCCACTTGATTGTAACACTTTATCAAAGACTTGTGCTACATTTGTATCCCTTATTATTTGAATAATCATGATATAGATATGTTAGGTTTTATTTGACATTAGGTCTTACTCAACACACTTATTTTATTGTTGTTACTCTCTTTATGTAGTATGCCATACATTGTACCATGTGCAATTGTCATGCAATAAAGTTCTTCCTGTACCCAGTATTTCGAGCCATGTTACATAACTGGTGCTTGCAGAAATGATTGCCTTCCACATGTGGTCTGTGAAGCTGATATGTCCTACATGACTTGTACTTGTTGATATTGCCCCACATTACTCCCACAGCCCAGGTCCTGAGTACCAGACACCCCTGGTACAGATGGATCGTTAGTTGTGGAATTCCCTGACCCACAGAGAGACAAGATCAATACCGTTACCTTGGGCAAAGTGCTGTTGTATTGATCTTAGGCCGCACCAATTTAATTTCTTGGTTAACGGATTTTTCTAGAAAAATAATGGAGCGGGCGGGCGAAAAAAAAAATAAAATAAAAACAGGTCTAGGCATCCTATTATAGCCCCAAATACTACGATAGGAGCCATGAAGTCAACAAAAAAGGCTGGGTTGATATTCAAACAACGAATTTGGAAATTTTAATGAAACCACTGCATTGAAAGATGGAATAACTGTAACAACTAGGAACAACTGTTACAACTGTTAAGAGCAAAATATGAGCATTTTGCAGTTATTTACGTTGATTCTGAATTTTTTTTTTTTTTGCAAATCAGAAAAAAATGAAGCGGGCGAATCCGTTAACCAAGAAATTAAACTGGTGTGGCCTTAGTGCAGGAAGCAGTCATCTGGGTCTACAAGTGGAGGGATAATTATTCAAAGAAACACTTTAGAATTAAAAGTCACATGTAGTATACTGATATCTGTGAGGCAACAATTTGATGCTACTGACAGAAAACCTTTGTTTCTCTAGCTGATACTGTAAGCTGGCAGCTGGTTCTAGCTGGTACCAAAAATACAGGGACTCCGCAAGCTGCTTGTTTTAGTGCTATTTCAGATACAGACAGAACTGTGATAAGAAATGGCAGTAAATGTCAATATCAGAAAGATTTCCTAATCCAGAATATTTTTTGTACTGCCTCCCAGAAATTGCAATTGGATGCCTTCAAGTTTAAGTGCTCATGACACCAAAGTATGACTTTAGCTGATTGTAATTGACATGACTACTGTAGTATTACCTGGCTAACAGACACATTTACAATAGATATGCACGGTTCTCTTGTTACATTCGAAATTCTAATAACGCCCTACCTTGGAAAAGTCGGCACAAGCTAGTCCTGGCGGGTGATTTGCATCTCTATGTTTTATTTTTGCATGTCTGTATTTTTTCCTGAACTGACGTCACCCAGTGATGTCAGCTCAGGAAAAAGTACAGAAATGCAAAAATAAAACATAGAGATGCAAATAGAGATGCCCGATGTGGCAATTGGGATCATGATTGGAACAAACTTCAAGTGACTATATTGTATGTACACTTGCGATATTTGTATGTATTTTACAGACTTATTTTGGTGTCATGAGCACTTTAAGGCATGTACCAAATCTTGAGAATTTCCTGTCATCTTCACTTTTCACAAAAAGGTGACCTGAAGCAGGACTATTAGTTGAGGTGGTGTGGGGTGGTGTAGTGGTAGAACGTTCAACTATGAAATGTGGAAACACGGGTTTGATTTCGAGTCGTACCCGGGACATGTCTGAAAATGCACCTGACATTGTGCCCTTGGGAAAGGCACTTATTATGACCTTCCTCACTCCACCCAGGTGTGAATGGGTACATAACTTCAGTTAGGGAAAGTCATATTGAGGTCACCTTGTGGCGCCGAATGGCAGCCGCACAGACCCTTGTTATATGTATCATGAATTTTATGTGATTGTTTCTGATTATTGATTGATTCTTACATGTACATGTATATGACCCCTGGATCAATTCAGCTATAAAAGGCTGAGATTACACGGGTAATGTTTGACCAATAAACCATTTATGACCAATAAATCATTTATTGTTGGATCAGGCATTACGTGGGAGATAAACAGCAGTCCTACATTTAAATAGTTACAAAATGTACATTGTAGCTGGCAATTAAGGACAATACAAAGTATTCCAGCAAACAGTCATGCCTCCAAAGATCAGAGTTATCAACCAAGAATTGAGGTATTCAAAAACTCGTAGTTCCCCAGAACTATCGTAGACTGGAACTCGTTGCCACCAAGCACAGTTGGGGCATCATCACTAGAAAGCTTTAAACAACTCCTGCAATTAAATGTGCAAAGATTGAGTGTAACAAGTCGTTCGGTGTGATATAGCTAGCTGCCGCTGCGCCGCGTGCCTGTGAAGCTGGTGTGTTACGCCGAAGGGCGGTTATACCGGCTATACAGATACAGATACAGAGCATGACCACTTCTACATGGGAAAGGAATAAAGAATGTGCCCTAGTTTGGGCTTGTCCTGATTTATTATACAGCCTTTTACTTCTGTCGTAAAGTTTCAAATTTAATATGAAAAAGATGTATACACTACTGAAGTCTGCGTTATATTTCAGTCCATACCATATGGTGTGGATGAAATATATTGTGTTCTCTCATTGAGCTCCTCCTGCCAAACAGTCAAAGGGATTCAACTCTGCCATTTTTTACCCAAATGACCTGAAATTTGGCATGGAGGTAGAGTGGGCCAATACCCCAAGGTTTTTTTTTCCTTTTTTGATACATGCCTTTTATGAATTTTTATGAAGGTTTTTTTGGTCATTTTTTGACAAAAAAAGTTTTTTTTGGATCCAGAGCCCTGGTTTTACAACCAAATGATCTGAATTCTGTATAAGGGTACCTTGAACGTGTGTTCACATATTCACATATTTGGCATACACCACTTCCAAATGACTCATTAGGGGTACTTTCATGGCTATTTTCAGCCACCAAAGAAGGGCCAAAAGTGCTATACCCGTTCCACATTCTATCTAAAGAATGGCCCGTTCCATCTGCCGTTGGCCATCGAACACTGCTCGAACACATCGAACATTGCGAGTTACCTGGGGTCACGTTGCACGTAAGTCGTGCACAAACATTCAATCTTATGTGGCCCAAACATTCAATCTTATGTGCCTAAGATCATTACGTCATCTACAATCATGACGATGGAATATGCCAACCATCCTATTATGGACTGAAATATGCTGTATTTGCTCCAAGGAAATGTCTGCCTCTCTAGTTTATTGTAGCATCATCAAAGGACTGGGAGGTTGTGTGCCCCAGGGTTGTGGTTGGGAGAGACCCCATTGGTGCTGGAAGTCTCAGCCAGAGCTCCATCCTATACTAAAAGCTTCACTGTCATTGGAAAGAGGTGGCAAAACAAATGGATGTACTCTGAATTCCCTTTTCACGCCAGGCGTGCAGGACTGCGTTAACAATACGGAAACAAATGACCTGACAAGGCAGGGGGATATCGGCATTCTGTCCATGAATGCTGTCTTGGAAGTGTGGCGTAATTCTTGGAGCCAATTTTGCTGCACAAAAATATGTAACACCTTTCATTAGGTATTAAATTTATCATGACTGTCTCATTACCACACAGTGTGTTCCTGTCATGTTACATTCTGTATTTCATGGTGCAATGTGTTAGAACATGAAAGTGTTGTGCACAAAGTTATCAAGACCCCTGAACATCCTACCTTGAACTATGAAAAAGCAGCTAAAGATGAAGAGTGTGCTTTGTTCTTTTTCAAGGTTTAATAAGGCCACATCAATATCAATTTAATTTGTTGTTGCTCGGATTTTTTTCATAAAAAATATGAAGCGACAGGGAAAAAAAAACCAAAAAAAAAACAAAAACAGGCCAAGGCACCCCATGATAGCCGGAAATGTTACAATATGATCCATTAAATGAACATAGTACCAGGCTGGTTTATAATTAAAACAATACATTTTGAACTTTTAATGAAACAAAATTGCATTGTTACATTGAAAACTTTGACAACTAGTAAGAAAAGGACTTTCTTCAACTGTTGGGGCCAAAATATGTCTTGACTTCCATTGAGCATTTTGCAGTTGATTTTGAACCTAAAAAATTTTTTTTTTGCAAATCAGAAAAAAATGGACAGGGTGAATCCGAGAAACAGCAAATTAAATTGTGTGGTCTAACTCTAAGGACGAAGAGTGTACTTTCAAAATTGTTCTTTTTCAAGGTTTAATAAAGGTTAAAAAAACTCACCACCAGGCCTGTGACAGCACTTCTCTTGAGGAATGGTCTGCTGTCATGTAGAAAACCAGAAACACTCCGCTCCCTCAGATGTCTGCAGGAACAGATCAGACTGTCAGAACTGCCTTCAAGGTACATTACTAAATACAGGCTGCAAAGTCAGGGGATCATGCTGATTTGGACACTAAAAATGACTATGTCAGGCCAGGGCAACATTCCACGTCCAACCCTGGAGCAACAAGGACCATGAGACGTTAAATGGATAGTGAGTGAGTGTGCGAGTCACAATAGTGAGAACTTTGTGATCTTGTGCCTTTTAGCCTCTGCATGTACACTTAAGGCCACATCAATTTAATTTGTTGTTTCTCAGATTTTTTCAGGAAAAATATGAAGCGGCAGGGCAAAAATAAAACAGGCCAAGGCACCCCATGATAGCCGGAAATGTTACAACATGAGCCATGAAGTGAACATACCAGGCTGGTTTATAATTAACACAATAGATTTTGAACTTTTCTTGAAACAAAATTGCATTGTTACCTTAAAAAACTTTAAGACCTAGGAAGAAAAGGACTTTTTTCAGCTGTTGGGGCTAAAATATGTTTTTCATTGAGCATTTTGCAGTTAATTTAGAACCAAAAGAATTTTTTTTTTTTGCAAATCAGAAAAAATGGACAGGGCGATCTGAGAAGCAACAAATTAAATTAGTGTGGCCTAAGCTTCAAGAAGCCCTGGAATGTTGATGCGTAGTCACCTCGGCTAATTAGGTTGCTGAGGTGGTTCCTTATAGTAATATAATAATTAAACATCTGATGGTCAAGAATGAGTCCAAGGCCTACCTTTAGATATAAATCGAATTGAGATAAATTTGAGTCAAATCTGAATGCCAACCAAGGCCCCGCCTATTCCCAAACACCAGCTAACCACCAGTCAACCATGGCTGAACCTCCCATCAACACTCAAATGTCATCAACATTTTGCAACATTCGGCTGGCGCAGCCAATATACCTGTTGACCTTGCACTGGCCTGCTCCTAACCATGGTAGTGGAGTTCGGTAGTGTTAGGGAGGCTGAATTCATGAACGTGTGACAGGGACTTTGCTGCTCAGTTTCTGCTAGGATCTTCCAGTAGACATAGTAAAATGTTGAACTTTATTCCAACACAACAAGTACAGAGAAATTTTCAACGACAACTGTTGCCTTCATGCCTTCATCATGATAATTAGTGATCAATCACTTTTGAATGTAAACGACGCAAGAGTTACCGTTACAGACATGTGACCTCAGTCATACAAGACTTTACTCTCATCTGCCGAATAAACATACCCCCCGGAATAAACGTACCCCCCGGACAAATCTTCAAAATCAAATAAACATACCCCCGGAATAAACGTACCCCCCGGAAAATTACCAAAATTGACGGGTAACCTGTGTCTCTTGTACTAAAATGCACCCTTACTGATATATGCACAAATCTTTAACTGTTATTTGCAATTAGGAATTTAAACAGACAAAAAAAAAAGAGCATTTAATATTTTGTATTTTGATAAGCACCACCCATGACAATAGAACATTCAGATGATTTTATGCACGCGGTGATGGCAAAAACCGGCCCGAAAATGACAAGTTTCTTGCTACAATATGCATTTATAAACATCTTCACGTCGATGATTTGTCAATTTTTTTCACACGAAGTTGAAAAAAATTACTGGTTTTCAAAAAATTAATAAACGTACTGTGCAAAATAAGAACGTACCAGGTGGATGTTTGGGCCAAAAAAAATAAACGTACCCGTATGTTTATTTGGCAGATGAGAGTACAGATACGTAACGTCACAAATTTGTCATTAATTATCCTGATGAAGGTAGCAGTGGTTGTTTAAAATTTGATCTCTCTGTATTTGTTGTGTATTGAATGAAAGTTTACTATCATTACTATCAGCACAAATGATCTAATTTATGATAACTTCAGGTAGACTTGTTTAAAGTTAAAACTTTTGATCCAACACAAAGAATGGGGCTGACATCGTCTACCAGATACCTTTGACCCAGTGTTGACGTCACACTTCAAAGAAGCCAAGTGACAAGCTTCACTGGGTCAGTCTACTGAGGAAGACCAGAGTGACTGGTCAAAAGCTCTAAGTGGGAGATTTCTTTGTGTTGGATGAAAACTTTTAACTTTAAACATGTAATTACCAACACAGATGAACTCATAATAGTTCAAGTAGACTTGTTGTTCTGACCTGAGAATTCCCCTCCTACAGATGATGAGCGTGTCGTACAGCACACACACACCCAGCACCGTGATGCCCTGTTCCTTCACCAGCATGGCACAGGCACCCAGCACCAGGCACAGCACGTACTGTCCATGGGACGACACAGCAGGGAAGTCCACACTTCTACACACTGTAGCCACACTTCTGAAACATACAGCAGGGAAGTCCACACTTCTACACTGTAGCTACACTTCTGAAACATACAGCAGGGAAGTCCACACTTCTACACACTGTAGCTACACTTCTGAAACATACAGCAGGGAAGTCCACACTTAGTTCTACACACTGTAGCTACACTTCTGAAACATACAGCAGGGAAGTCCACACTTCTACACACTGTAGCCACACTTCTGAAACATACAGCAGGGAAGTCCACACTTCTACATACACTGAAACATACATCCAAAGCAATTCAAGCTCCATTTTCAAAGTTATTTTTTTAGTCATTCCTTCAATGACTATTCTTAGCAAAAAGAATTAAGCAATCCTGTTTTCTTTGGAATACATAAAGAAAGAGCAAAAACAAGATGTTTTCCTTTCAAACAAGATGTTTTCCTTTTTCCTGCTCTAAGGCCACACCAATTTAATTTGCTGCTTCTCGGATCGCCCTGTCCATTTTTTTTCTGATTTGCAAAAAAAAATTTTTTTCTTCTAAATTAACAGCAAAATGCACAATGAAAGACATATTTTGGCCCCAACGGTTTATTTATTTGCTCATCATTTAAACAAATGTACAACAGCAGGGGGAGCAGAAGCGCATCCCCCTGAATTAGGTACAATTTGTCACATTATTTAAAGCATCAAACAGCATTCACATAGAAGAAATAATACATATAAACAACCATATATACAAAAGACACATATAAAAATTATTTACAACATATATCAACAAAGTTGCTTTATCAGGCTATGCAAGGTTGAAGAAAGTCCTTTTCTTCCTACTTCTTAAAGTTTTTTTTAATGTAACAATGCAATTTTGTTTCATTAAAAGTTCAAAATCTATTGTTTCAATAATAAACCAGCCTGGTATGTTGACTTCATGGATCATATTGTAACATTTCCGCTATCATGGGGTGCCTTGGCCTGTTTTTTTTTTAAATTTATTTCGCCCTGTCGTTTCATATTTTTTCTGAAAAAATCTGAGAAAAAAACAAATTAAATTGGTGTGGCCTAAGGAGTAGACAAGCTAAAGATGATAATGACATTATGATGCCTTGTTATGTCTTACCTTGTGAAGGCCAGGAATGACAGAAGGAACAACAGCCCAGCCAGAACATCAGCACGACCAACAATACCACTCACCTGGAACACACATACATGGATCAGGCGTGCAATTGTAACAGTGGGGGGTTTATAGGCGCTACTTAAACACTACCTGGCCGATGGGTCTAGACCTTTTAGCCGAGTGGTTAGAGCGTCAGAGTTTGAAGCTGGTGCTCAGGAGGCTGTGGGTTCGAACCCCAGCCCGGGACTAGAGGTTTTTATCTGTTTCTACTCGCTCCTCCTGTTTCTTATAGTGGTTCCCACACATGCCCTGGGAGTACTGGCACAGTGTGCTGCTCCAGGGATGTCAAAATCCGAAGATTCGAGGACGAATCTTGAAAAGAAAAGGAGGAGTAGTGTAACAGTGGGGGGTTTATAGGCGCTACCAACTGATCCGGCTGATAGGTCTAGACCTTTTAGCTGAGTGGTTAGAGTGTGACTGTCGGAGTTTGAAGCTGGTGCTCGGGAGGTCGTAGGTTTGAACCCCGGCCCGGGACCAGGGGTTTTCATCTGTTTGTACTCCTCCTGTTTCTTACACAATCTCTAACTTTTTCTAGAACTCTTGTTAAGTGATGCCACCAAGAACAGTACAGGCATCATCACTAAATAGCTTTAAACAATGTTTAAAGTTAGATGTGCAAAGGTCTAGGTGTAACAAGTCCTATGGTACAATATAGCAGCTGCCACTATGCCGCGTGCCTGCGATGCTGGTGTGTTACTTTGAAAGATGGTTATACCAGCTATTCAGACACAGATGTGTTCTTTTACCATGTACATGTACACGGGTATTCAACTTTTCTTCAGACAATTTTCCAAAAATAAAACGGTTAAAAACTTGGCAAACAGTAAACTCTTCTTGTAGCTGTAAGGCCACACCAATTTAATTTCTTGGTTAACGGATTCGCCCGCTTCATTTTCTTCTGATTGGCAAAAAAAAAAAAAAAATCAGAATCAACTGCAAAATGCTCATATTTTGCCCTGAAACAGTCCTTTTCTTCCTAGTTGTTACAGTTATTCCATCTTTCAATGCAATAATAATTGTATCATTAAAAGTTGAAAATTCATTGTTTAAATTTTGAACCAGCCTGGTGTGTTGACTTCATGGCTCCTATTGTACCATTTTGGGCCATAATAGGATGCCTAGGCCTGTTTTTATTTTTCTATAAAAATCCGTTAACCAAGAAATTGAATTGGTGAGGCCTAAGAATGTTTTGTTGACAGGAAGCCTGTACTGACCGCTTCAGTGTGGACAGGATGGACAGCAAACATGAGGCCAGCCAGCAGCGCCAGGTGCACACAGCTGAACACCACCTGCTCACACACGTACATGTACAGCACTGTGACAGCTGTGTGCAGCAGCATGTTGACAGCATGGAAGCCAGCAGGGTCCAGCCCGCCTATCAGGTGGTTTATTCTGGGGACAAGACAAAAATGTTTGATTTGACAACATGTATACAAAATTATATGTTATGATCCTCTTAAAAACTCAAGAGGCAAATACATACTAAACTAGAAATCCCTGATCTTATATCTTCGCCAAATAATGTTAATCTTTATGAATGACAAATTATAGATTATTCCCCCCTGATTTAACAAATACATTGTAGGATTCTCATTTTCATGAGTCATATCATTTTATCATATTCAAAACCAAAAGACAGTCTTATAATAGTTATATTAACAAACAATGCCATTCTGGCATTTCCTCATAAATTATGCAAATGAGGTCCTGATTTGAATACATTATGTTTAATGATGTTCACCTTCACTGAACTTTCAAATACTACAAGTATGACATTCCAGGCAGTTATCATTACATGAGTATAAAATTTTTTCATTAATTTTGAAAATTAAGTCTTCATTTACATAATCAATATCTACCTATGTTTCTCTTGTTACCAATGTCACAAGCTTCAATACTCCGATAATGGAATGCAGCTGATTTAGATCATTTTGAGGTCTCATGAAGACATACATATGTACTAACCTACCAAATATCAAGTCAATCCATTTAAGCCTTCTCAAGTTATCGTATTTACAGGTAGCAAAGATGGAAAGGTCCAATCAGCACCAAGGACAGGACAGTTGTACTGAAATAAAACTGGAACAAAGATAGAAAGGACCAATCAGCACCAAGGACAGGACAGTTATACTGAAATACAACTGGAACAAAGAAAGGACCAATCAGCACCAAGGACAGGGCAGTTGTACTGAAATACAACTGGAACAAAGATAGGTTAAACCAGGTTGCCCACTGACAACGTACGGCAAAAATTAGGTTGCCCATCAGAATTTTAGGTTGCCCCACCTGTAAGTTACTACTTTCCTCAAATTAGGTAATGTTACATACATAAGCCTTTGACAATATTTCTAACAGCCTTTAGTTAACTGATACTAGTAATAGCCATTAATACCTAAAAATTAAAAAGCATCTGCCGGATACAGTGGTGCAAGCCAAGTGGGCATGATTTGGGGGGAGGGGGGTATTCTTAAAATTCAGGTAGCACACTGGGGCTAGTAGGTTCAAAAATAGGTTGCGCCAAGTAAAATTTGGGCAAGCAGGTATTTTGCACGCTGAAAATTTCTGCAAAATTGCAGATTGTATAATTTTTTTCTGCAACCTTGAAAATCTCAAAACACATGCAGGTACAATACAAATGTGTATTTGGAACACTGACATCCCCACAGGCCCATATGTCATCATAGGAATCCATTAGCTGCTGTTTTATGATCTCAGCAACAATTGCCCTGCAGTGATATTAATCTTACTGTGTTTACATATTTTGTGAAGCATGAGTCATCAAAATTAGTGCCTCCCTCCTGTTAACTTTGCTTGGTTGGTTCCACCAGAGAGGTTGCCTAGATGAGGGCCTGCATGCCCTTTTCGTAAGGCGTAATCAGGCTTTTTTAGACTTCGTAATTCATAGGCAGCCTCCCGAAAAAAACGTTATTCCTAATAGTACATTAGCCGCAAATCGTAAAGTCATAATCAGCTCGGATACTTAAACGTAATTCGTAATCAGCAGCAAAAATTTTGCGTCATTCATAATCACTACCCCCCACCCCCCATGCAGGCCCTCCTAGAATAATAATATAATGCCCAGAACACTGAAGTAAGAATGTGTACATCCCCTGAAAGCATTCATAAATCATGGGAGTCATTATTTCCAGGCGTGATGGTAACGTGCATCAGAATCAAAGTCAGGTTTTATGAGGTCAGGTACATGTACATGTAGATTGTGTAATGACTGTGATTGCTGATGTAACAGTATGACAGCCCTAAGGCCACACCAATTTAATTTCTTGGTTAACGGATTTTTCTAGAAAAAATAATGGAGCGGGCAGGCGAAAAAAAATTAAAATAAAAACAGGCCTACATGTGTAGGCATCCTATTATGGCCCAAAATGGTACGATAGGAGCCATAAAGTCAACACACCAGGCTTGTTCAAAATTTAAAAAAATAAATCTTGAACTTTCAATGATACCATTGCATTGAAAGATGGAATAACTGTAACAACTAGGAAGAAAAGGACTGTTTTCAGCTGTTCAGGACAAAATATGATCATTTTGGAGTTGATTCTGAATTTTCATTCTAATTTGCAAATCGGAAAAAAATGAAGCGGGCGAATCCGTTAACCAAGAAATTAAATTGGTGTGGCCTTTGGTGAAGGTAACAAATTTAATGGCCACCATGCTATGCAGTTCTATTTGAACTGCAGGCTTGGCCGAGTTCAGGACCACACTGCATGTTTACATTTCCTGCCTCGTACATGTATATATGATGCAAGACACAATCAGGATCCTGCAAAATCCTGCAAAATCCCCAGAACTATCCTTCGAGATCTCAACAAAATCCTGTGGGATCTCCAACAAAATACCACATAAGATCCCAACCATTTACCAGTCCAAACCCTGAAAGAAATATCGTGGGACTTCAGGCATACCCTAAAGTTGGTCTAGTAGTAGTCTGAAGTACAGTAGAACTGACAGCTACTGTATGACTAGTAGTAGTACAGTAGAACTGACAGCTATGACTAGTGTAGTAGTAGTACACTATAAGGCTGCACCTTGGACAGGGCACTCTGTCAGGCTTATCATAACTTTCTCTGTTGTGCCAAAGGTCACAAATTCAACAGAAATACATTGTACTAGTCAACATTAGTAATGGGCGGTGTTTCATTTTTGAAAGGCCGTTACATTTTGGATTTAGGTGAATGTACTGGGAAATGTGGAGGTCTCTCATCCTGTTCATACCAGACTTTTAAAGACCGGTTGAAACCGTTAAATAATTAGCGGAGGAAAACCCGGCTAAAACCCTTAGCGTTCATACCAGACTTTTCATAACCGGTTTTGTAAAAATCCTGTCCGGTGAATATCCAATTAATCAGCCATGACTACAATTTGAATAACCGTTCCTCCCGCTCTTCAGATCGTTGTCCTTAGCCTTCTTGTATGCCGTCTTCAGGTCCTTTATCTAATTACTGCAGGCAGCACTCATCCTTTATCTTCGAAAGACCAGGCTCATCCAACATTTTTTTTCGGTAGAGCCCCCCCCAGCTTTTTCGAATTCGGCGACTCCTGCTCTCCAAAAATAAGTAACAGGAGCGTCTCGTCAGCCGGCCAGGTTGTGTATGCTGATTCCATCGCAAAATGAAGAGAAACCGTGGAAAAACAGTGGAAACGAACTCAAATTGGTCAAAACAACACGATCAAAAAAGCTTGGAGGTCACACACGGCCAGGATGCTGACCCCGTGACCCCAGAATTATGAGGCAAAAACCGGTTCAATAATCCCTCAGTGTTCAGACCAGGTTTTTCGGTGGAAAAACCGCTAAAACAAAACACCTCCCGAGGCGGTTTTTTTAAAATCGGATTCAAACCCCTAAAAAAACAGTTAATTTGCGTTCACATCAGGTTAAATAAAAAAACAGTTGAAACAGCGAAATATGAACAGGGTCTATCTGTACTGCACCTCTTCCCTGTCTACTGCATGTCCCAGGAGCACCATGATGAGTGTTGCTGAAGGCAGTAAATTACCAGGTGTACTTGATAGATGCAGACTGCCAGTTCAGTACTGACAGATAAATACTACTGGGGCTTCATGTCTGCTAAACACACAGCACAGAGGCAGCAGGCTATCATCCCTGCACAGCCAGGGGATTGGACACAAGCTAGTGGTCCTGCCTTTAATTTAGGGAGCAGGCCCTGTTGTGATTACATTCACCCGTGTCTTATTGCTGACATGGTCTTCAATTTTCACGCTCTGTGTCAGTTCAAGACATGTTTCCAAACCAGTACCTGGCTGTGTGGTGTACATGAGGTCTAGTGTGTGTATGGCACGGTGATTTTCTCTGACATACGGAGGCAGATGGCCATATCTGGGCTTCTGCTTGTGCCAACAGCTTTATTTTCCAACCATTACCAATCTAAGTTGCATGTACATGTCATCCTCCCATGGCAGGGGCAGCGGCTCCGAATTCCTTCTCCGCCCCTACCCCTGCCTTATTACATGGCATCTTCTACTCTACGACCCGATTCCAGGGACACGCTCTCAGCCAATCACGTATCACAGAGAAAATCTTCAACGCACTTTACATTAATATTCATGAGATGCGCTAGCTATCGGAACCAATCATGTCGGCTATTCAGTGACAAATAAAAACAAACATGGCGTCGTCTCGGGAAGAGAACTTTTGCGATGCAGGCCGCTGCGGGCGTCGGCGGGGCGCTAGCGTGTGCTGGAGGCTGCGCGCGGATCCCGCCGAGCACGGGGAAGGTGTTAACTCGGTGACTTTGCCCCGCACGGCCTCCCCAACGCGTTAACGGGCTCGTCACCGGGCGGCGGCGGAGTCGCCGGCGGGGAGGGTGACGTCCCTTCGCCGCCCAAGTCAGAAATGGGGTCATGCCAAATAAGGCAAGCTCATGAATATTAATATTCCTCGGGTCGTAGAGTAGAAGATGCCATGTAATAAGGCAGGGGTAGGGGCGGAGAAGGAATTCGGAGCCGCTGCCCCTGCCATGGGAGGATGGTACATGTAGGTATATTATTAGACAGATCTGCTTTAATTTGTATACAATTAGCAGGGCTCGGAATATACTGGGTGCATGTGCACTTTAGTGCACCCAAATTTGCAGTTGTGCACCCAGTTTTTCTCTGTGGGTGCACCATTGCACCCAAATATTTTCTTAGGTTAAACATATGTAAAGATGTTAAATGTATAGTTACTGTAGTTACAGCATATTCTTAACATCTAAGTGTAAGAAAAAATAATACAATCATTATTATAGTACTTTTATTGAAATGAAACATAGTTATAGTTTTTGCTGACATTTTACTTATTTTATCTTAAATATGGTGCACCTAAAATATTTTTGTGCACCCAATTTTTTAGGTTGGGTGCATGCATCATGTCAGTGCACCTGTTCCCAAAAATGAATTTCGAGCCCTGATTAGAGTACCGCTGGTGTTATGGTTGACATCAAGATGCACTTTGCACCTGTGTAAAGCCAGCACTAGTGTGTGTGTGTGTGTGTGTGTGTCTATGTGAGCATGTGCATTTACATGTATTTCAAAGAATTATACTATGAACTACAGAAGAAAAAAAGCCATGATGAACAAAAACTCTCCTTTGGTGGTGTTTTAATCACAAATAGTTCTAGATTCCATATATTGTCTTTGGCAATATTTATCGGATTTTTCGTACACGAAGATGAAATCAGGATGAGATTGCAGAACTTGCCTGCCTGTATGTGACGTTCTCTTTGTGCTGCTGTAATGAAAACTGTCATGTTCTCTTGG